TATAAATTAACAAACAATTAATAAATATTCACTTTTTTTTTTATATTATATTTAAAGTAAAATTTTATTTTATTTTTGTTACATTGTATATTGTTTAATTCATGTAAATCGCACTAAGTATGTCAATTTTAATATAATTTAGTATAATACGTTGAGATCTTTCTACGTTGCTTCATAAATATAAATCCTAAAGATATTTACAAAAAATTATATCATAAAAATATAGCAATTATAAGAATAAAGAAAAGGAATTTTGTTATGTACAACTTAAAAAAATTTCCTAAACTTTATTTATCTTCTTGCATTTTTTTCAATTTTAATTATTTTTCCTAAAGAAATATATTTTTTAAATATTTCGATGACGTTCACAAAATTAACAAAGTTGTTAATCAAATGACTCTACAAAAGTGATGTGATTAAAAAGGTAAGAAACGAAACAAGAGAGATCAGAATAGGAAAAAAAATATCTTAGATACATATAAAGAAAGATATCTGATATCCTTGGAATAACTAAATATAGGTATGAAAAAAACTTGTTAAATATTAAACCTCGTACTCAGAACTGACCGCATGATATCTCAAAACCGAGTTGTCTAATCGATTTCAAACGTTATCAAATAAATACTTTTCCATCTTCCAATCTTGATTTCAAACTTTATCAAATAAATATTTTTCCATCTCCCAATCTTACGTTTAATTTAATTCCTTCAAAATTTAAATTTTCGTTAAAGCAAAAATGCGAATTTTTTTTGTAAGTGCTATTTTGTTATTTTTATGATTGTAATATAGCATTAAATTATATCAAATAACTGAGAAATAATCATGGATATCATAAAGCAAAATTATTTTACATTTTCGATATTATTATTTCTATGCTAATCAACAATTGAAATATTCGGATTTACAGGATTTCTGAGTACTCACATCAGCCATATTAAATCGTGATGATAAGCAAGAAATGATACGACTTTTCTTGCATGCCAAAATAGAAAGAGTAAATAGAGAGAATTTGGATGAAATAAAATATTGAGAGTGCTTTAAAACACTTGTAAAAATGGACCGAGACTGTATCTTTACTTTCCTGTGAAAGTCAGTAAACAGTCATAAAGTGCATCTACTAGTTTTTACTCAATCATACGCATATGCGTAACTTATTTTCTTTTGACTATTTACTGACTTTCACAGGGGAGGTAAGGATAGTCTCGGCTCATTTTTACAAGTGTTTTAAAGCGATCTCATCATTTCCATTTCATCCAGATTCTCTTTATCTACAAATGGCATGCGAGGAAAGTCAACGTAATGTTATTTCTCGCTCATGACGTCATAATTCAATATGGCTGAGATAACTATTCAGGAGTGACTGTTTTTAACAATAAATGAGCAATAAATGAAAAAAAAAACGTTATGAAGATTTGATTTTTAAGTTTGCAAAAATTTGTAAAAATTATTTATTTTGTGTTAGAAGATAAAATCTTTTTGCATTTTAACGTAATGTATAATATGAATGTAATGTGTAATCTTACTATTACGCTTACCATTGCGAATCCACTAAGAAGTTCAGATGTGGTTGCAGTTGCTTTTAGCTTCGCTCTGCTCATGTGAAGTCTCCTCCACGAAAGGTTCTCGGGCCCATCCTGATCGTCAGTTTCATTTTGTGAGAACGGTGCCGGCGGTGCCGGCGGCGGCGGCGGCGACGAGATCTGCGATCCTGCACATGTACAGCAACACGTGTACGCCGGTGTACTATTGCCTAAAATGTAACTGTTGGAGTGCGGACTGGGATACGAAAGATTATTGATTGATCTCATGTCCAGAGACACGTATCTGTTGTTATTGTGCCTATTTCTCGATGATAAAACCAACTCGGTCTGAGTAGGATATAACGTGCTTCTGGAGCTATGCGTGGAAAAGCTCAATTCGCTCATCTGTTTGGGAATCTTGGTCGATAAATATGCCAGGGACATCGGCCTCAATGTTCTCTGTCTATGATCTCCAGCGCAAGGGAGCCTCCACGAGATATCGCTCTGAGTCGATTTGTTAAATTTGCTACTTTTCACGTCCTCTCCTATATCGCTGAGCGAGGTACTCGCATTTAATCTCGCATGACCTACGATACTCGGTGTTTTCTCGTCCTGGATGCTGTCAACGAAAGCGCTCATCTTACTATATACGTATACGGCTCTTCCCGTGGCAGTAGAGTATTGTAATAGTATTGTGTAATAGAGGAAATCCCACGATTATTCCTTCGAGTGTTTACGCATTCGACGCATCGTTCGTGACTATCACTTTTTGAGCACGAGATATATATGTATATTAAGCGATTCGATTGGATACTTAAAAGCATGCAGGTATGTCAAGGTATATTACACCGTACACGCAATTCACTTCCAAGTTACTGTTCCCACAAAGTTTTATATGCGATCACATAATCGTTTGAATTATAAATTCTTTCCGACATCGATTTATACATTATTTTATTGTCGCGTTATCGCAACAGTCAAGTGCATTATATTCATGCGTTATATTCATGCCTATCACGTCGTTATATCGCTGTCCGCTGACCACGAGAGCTGACACGTTATTGTTATCTCTCAAGACGTAGGGTAGGTTCAAAGCGTCGGCGAGACATGCATGTGCGGCGATGGATGCATGTGGGTCATGTTACGTGCAGCCTATACCTGCACGTACTCCACGTACACAGAGTACAGAGCGGCTGCGAACTCCTGCAGAGCTCCGGAGCTCCGATCGAAGACTGAAAGATCGCCTAGTCAAAGTACGAACATGACGTACCTGTCTGAATCATAACAATAGTATTAATTACCTTCGAGCCATATCTCTAGCGAAATAATAACCGACCGTGTGGCCTCCCGCGCGTATCCATCTATCTACTGCGATTGTGTGAGTGCGTGCAGACGATGCGCGATTCAATTCATCTCACGTGCTCACGCTAAGATATGAGACGGTATCAATGTTGCGGCCAATGACGTTTGAATTCTTTCTGTCTTTGTAGAATGACGATAAGACGATTGCAACGATAGAAATCCGTCGGACATTGCGAATTGTCAAGCGATGACGAATCGCCGAAGATCGCTCATACCGGAAGATAAAGTGTTGTGTAGAAAATGCACAATCATATCAAATCTAGGCTCGGATTCTTCCTAATTACCCGTTGTCGAGTTCTCTTCTTTAGAATCTGCGACATTGGGATTGATTATACCGTCGCGATTATACCGTCGCGACATTAGCGTAAGAAAATCAGTCCTCCTCCCCCGTAAAAACATATGGCGTGGAGTAAATAGCAGTATTATTTATTTAGAAGAAGCCTGCATTCTGACAGGCGGAATTAATCATCTGTATGCCACGTTCTGTATACTTCGTTCATATGTTTACTATGTAATCATCGAAATATGCGAAGGCTTTAGTTAGTATAATATTGTATATAACGTTCGTCGCGCGGACTATACCTCAGGCAGTTTAATTATTTTACTTTTATTTTTCTCTGCAAGCGGGGATTATAGCTTCAAGTAAAAACTCGCGATTATGATTTCCGCAGACAATTTTGTATTCGAACGCCGTTGACTCGTTTGCCTTTATTTTTTCTAACGTAGGATATTCCGATGGGTCATCACGCGCTTCTATATTGCAGCGCCTGCGATGTGGGACGAGATAGCAAAATGTTATTAATCAAAATAGACAATGTTACGATGCCACATATCTATATTATAGTTACCGCAATTTTAATAACGAATTCTTTTATGATGAATTTGAGTATATAAGTATTTTCTTAGCAACACGTATGACGTCGGAAAAGATCATTACTTATCACGTTTTGGCATTAGATATTTTTATAGGGAAAATAAAATTCGATGAAAGAAAAGTTTATTTTAAGTTAATCAAACAATATAATTTTGTTTATTTTTTGAAACATTTAGTTCTTGCCTTTTCTAATATAATAAAGTCTTCCTTCTTCAATCATTAATAATTCGATGTCTATAAATATTAATGTATATGTATATTTTATATATTTTTAGTATTATCGGTTTGTAAAACGACAAATCTATTAAGTGATTTATAATGATTTAAAAAACTAATTTTGACTCCAATCATATTTTTCAGTCTAATTATAATAAATTACTATTCGTGAAAAATTGGATAAGTAACCGATTGCGTTGGTGATATAATGTGTACTTGCGGAAGTGTACAACATGTATTCTTGGTAATACTATATAGTGTATTGGAGGATCGTCACAAATAACAACAGCGAGACTATAAAATATTGCAATGTGTAATATAATATTTATGTGAATAATTTTACGCCACTATAGCATTTCGCAGAGTTAAATTAATGTATTTCGCGAAAAGAAAGGTACCCCGATTCTCCGCCTTTCACGCATCGACCTTTTGCAATTAAACTGGTTTTAGTGTAGCGATTAACAAAAATGCAATTCGCTGTAACCCACGTGTACAAATATACGCTTTTATTATAATGCTATATAATGTTTATGATATTTTGTTTCCTAATTAAATTACTTTCTTTATGTAAATAGTATGTATTTACGTTTTTCTTTCTTAAATATATTCCAATACAAAAATGTTGGTATTTTAGAAACTATTTACAAATATTTTATTGAAATGTTTAGCAACAAATCTTGAAATTCATGTATATGTAATGCAATAACTTTGGATACTTTGATATATTAATAAAAATAAAATTATTGGAGAAATCGAAGAACAACAAGTTATGCAATATGTGTCTTCATGTGTATAAAAGTTACGTGGCTATTTGCGTGACAAAAATGCTGAAAAAATCCTGTAATAAATGCGTGACAAGATCGTAGTAAGTATAGCATATACTAACGGTAGAATTGAATAGTCTATTAAAACTAGAATTTTGTACATACGCGTAAAATATGTATTTTTAAAATAAAAACATATACTTCCAAATTATTCCAACTTTTGAGCATAATATTTATTATTTAATAATTAAGTCTTCTAACTTTGATAAGTTAATTATTATGATCATTTACTAACCTGTAACACTATATGTATGTATATTATTGAGCGTTCAATTTGGTTCATGTAACGGTTTTTGTTTAGTATTTGTAATGCAGAATCATGTATGTAATATAGAAAATGAATAACGCGCTGAATGAATTATTCAACGTGTTAACTTATTTATATAATTATTAAACGTGTTAGAACAACGTATTAATTGTTCAACGCTTTTCTTTGCTACCATGAAATTGCACCTTTATAGTGAATCATTATTTTTCACTGAAAATTGGAAAACCCAGCAAACGAGAATGGATTGAAATAAATTGAAATGGATTCAGATTTTCAGAAATATTGATTCACGAATGTTAAAATGAATGCTTTTCAATCCTGAAAATAAAATAAATACATTTTTATTCATTTATAAGAATTGCACGGAGCATATCTCTACGCCTTCCAATCTAAAAATAATATTAGTTTTTTCTGTGCGTTGTGAATACTATTCACATTTCCTATTCAATTCGAAATTTTGAATAGGAAATGCAGTTTTTCAATCCAATTGCATTTAATTGAATCTAATCAAATCCAATTGAATCCAATTAAATCCAAAAAAAAATATTCTCTATTTAAAATACGCGCATTTGGATAAAAAAAAATTTCAATCCATTTTAATCCATTCTCATTTACTACGGGATATATAAATCCTCGTATAAGCTATAAATTGAGCGAACATCACCAATTTTGATCTTTTTTCGTTCTTTTTATCGTGATTT